TCAAAATACTAAATTTTACTTTAAATTTTTTTAAGTTCTATTATATTCAAATTTTTATATGCAAAAAGTAACTTTTTATTTCATAAGGCATAATAAAACATTTAATATTTTCAATAATCCTATCAACAATTGCATTTCTATTGAATTATTACATCGAAAACTAACAAATAATCAATTTTTTTCATTGGTCTAATAGTGGCGTAGCGAACATAACTGGCGCCCAGGACACGACACTTTATTGGTGCCCCTCCAGAAACACATATAGTTTGTCTTGGAGACCATTTGGGCACCCCTCTGCAAGTGGTGCCCGGTGCCCCCTTGCACCCCCCTCGCTACACCACTGGGGTCTAATAATTTGGCAAGGTACTGTATATTGAGATAATGGCTATCAATTCTCAATTCTTCATAATATAAAGTACAAAACTGATAGTAATTGCTTAAAATTTTAATAATCATCAAATGAATAATAATAAGTGTATAACTTCTTAATTAATTATATGAAATTATTTCATATTATATATTTTCATTTTACTATTACTAAAATTTTTTTTTAAATAAAAATATATAATTGCCATTTTATTTTTTAAGCATATAAAAATTCATATCAAGCTCTGCATTTTCATATTGATTAAATTTATAAATATGTTAATTTTATATCATAAATATACATAGTTAATTTTTTTTTTCTTATTGAGAATCAATTTTAAAAAAAATTTTTGGATGGTTTATTTCTTTGGCTTGTAACTATACAGGACAAGCATTCAAAATATATATGGCAACCAGTGGACGGTTAATGATATGAACTGTTACAAACAATTTTGTATAGAATTATTCAAAATCTTCTGCAAATAACTATTCTAAAAGATTAGTTTACCATATTCTTAATAAATTCAAGCTACCATTGATTACAAATTGTTCTTTATTTGTATTAACAAAATCATATCCAATTTAAAACTCCTTTTGTCTTAACTGCAGGGGGAAAAAAAAAAGCGTATACTTTTATATAACACAGAACTTATCAGTATCATAAAATCAATATACTGATTTTATAATTAAAAAAAAAAGTATAAAATTAATTAGCTGTTCATCATCTAAACCATTTAATTAAATAAATAACTTTAGTGATGATAATATCGTAAAATAAATTTATTGATCTTTGGTATTTACTGAGACTTGATTTATATTTCATCTTTACAGGATGAAATTGATAATGAATGGTGTCTCTGTTGGCATCCTGTTTGGTCTTGGAAAAAAGTATCATCCTCACCAGACAATAATAATACTTCTGCTTCGGATCCGCTACGTTGATCTCCATTTTTATATCTCGCATGTCGTTTTAATGAGGAATTATAACTTTTCCATTTTCCTGGTTTATGCATCAGAAAATTATCTACAACCCAAAACATTATAACCTACAAATTTAAAAATTTTTAAAACACATTATCAAAAGATAAATTATTAAATAATTCATGTTCAAAATTTCAAAATTTCTTACATTTATAATAAAAGGTATAACAAGTACAACAATTGCTACTTCGAGTTTAGGATCCTTGATGGGCCACGTAATTAAGTGACGAACCTGATTAAATAAGTAAGTACAGTACATTATAATTGAATAATTAAAAACTATGGCACAAATATATATTATTTATAATTGTGAAATGTTTTATTTATTTAAATTATATACATTGGATTATACAGCATATATAATGGAGTTAAGTTTGCTTATCTGGAACGAGAAAACTTCGTTGAATTGTAACAAAAAATACATAAAACTACAGCAGTGCAAATTACTGAAGAATTGGCTTCAAATGCAAGGGTACCAGTATCAGTGGAAACTGTCCAATATGCACTGCATAAAGATAATACAATGGCAAGGTTGCAGTATTCAAACCTTTGTTGACACCACAAAACATCAAACAGCATATGCAGTGGTGTAAAGAGTACAAAACATAAACACTGGAGACAAGGAAACTTGTGCTGTGGTCAGATAAATCAACTTTTACTGTGTTTTCCACTTTCATTCATGCTTATGTCTGGAAATCACCTGAAGCTTACAACGCTGACTGCCTTAAATCCACTGTCAAGCATGATGGAGGTTCCTGTATGATTTGGTATGTGATAACATTCAACTCATTGGGTCTGATAGTTGTCCTCAAAGGTATGAATTTTTTGAATAAATTATAATTACACATGACTTACATATTTGATTTACAATTAAAAAAAGAAATATTTGGATATTTTATATAAACAAATATATTTTAATTTAAGAAAGAATTTCATTCTGATAGTTTGCAAATATGCGAGTTTGTTACAAGCTGGAAATATTATTGTACCACATCTATCAATTCTTCATTATCATATTCATCATTGTATGATATATAAATTATCAATTGTTCACACAAAATAACTTTTGGGCATAGTGACTGTCACCTTTTTTGAAAATAATGCACTTCTGCCAGTCTTTGAAGATGTGTAGTAGCCCATCCTTTGAGATGTTCTTCAAAATTCCTTTTGATATTCTGACCATTGATACTGTGGAGGAAAATGGATTCCCCATAACTTCAGTTCTGAAAATAGGAAAAGTAATATGATGCCAAATCTGGGTTGTACAGTGGATGAGAAATGCAAAAGATATTTCCATTGGCAGAAGCAAAATTTTAGCATTGTGTACTACTCAACCCAATCAAATTCCATTTTGTCATAAGTAGGCAGCAGACAACATTTGCTCTACTTGTTCTAGTGGCTAAATTAAGTTCCATATTTCCATGCAGATTTTTTGGACAGATGCATTAATAACTTATTTGCAGTGATGTAGTTCTGAAATTTTTTAATGCCATACTTTTCACAGAAAAAAGAAATCAATTTGCAATTTGTTTTGACTTGCCTTCATGTAAATTGACAATTAAATTAATAAGAATTACAATGACAATTCATGACAATAGCTTAAAATCAATAATATAGTATTCCATAATATATTTATTAACTTAAAATAGTATACTATATTTTAATATTTCAAATAATCTATTAAANCGGAGTCGGATTGGTAAGGAAAAGTCGGAGTCGGTAGATTTTTACGCGACTCCACAGCCCTGGTAATTTCAAGCCATAGCTTTGTTGATGATTTAAAAATAATTCTGATCCAAAATTTTTAAACAAGCAAATCTTAATAAATCTGTTGGCTAAAATAAATATTAAAATCAATTTTAATAAATCAATAGTAATGTGTTATTCTTAATTTGAATTCAAACTCTCCTCTATTTCCTCAACTGAAAATAAGACAATAATTTATTCTCAAATAGTCAATGACCTAAGAGTTATATTTGATATCAGGATTAACATAGGATTAACTTTTAAATTTTATATTGTTAGAATAACTAAAGCACTATTCATTATTCAGAGTAATCGTATGAGTTTATAAAATGAATCATGTATATCACTGTCTGTTGGAAATAATGCAGATAACTGATCTAACTGAAGAATAATTTTGTTCCATAGGAAGTTAGAATTTTTTAAAAATTGAATATAATATAATAGAGAAACCAACAACAATATTACATCAACTTGAATACTTTTAAGCAGCCAATATTATCATCCCAAAAGCAAAAGCAGCAAGTTGTACATTCAACAAATCCAAATTTCTTAGAAATCCTGTCAAATATGTTCAAAACTCAAACCATCCGAACAGACAAACTCTGGTATTTAAAGTAATGCTATCTTCTAGACTTCATTCTTGTTTCTCCTTTCTATCTAATCTCTTTAACAAATTCTTCTCATTTAACCTCCATACTTTTCTCTAACTCCACTACTCTCGCAGTTTTCCTTTTTGTCCTACAATCGTCAAAGTATTCTTTCAGTCTCATCTCGACTCCTTGTCACTCCCACATAAAACCTTCTAGTCTCTGACTTATGTTTTATCAGTATAAGATAAACCTACCTAATATGTCTAAAAAGCAAAATTAAAGCCAGGAGTTTAATATCAGAATAGTGAGAAGTGTCCTAGACACAAAGCTCAAAGAACATTGAAGATTGTAGGACAAGAAGGATAACTGACACTAGTGGAAACTGCTTAGAAGAAAAAAAAATAGAGGTTAAAGGGAAGGAAGCATAATTGTTACAAGAGGTAGAAGAAATAAATATGTCAACAGCTAAAAGATTGTGGATTTGGAGAAAGAGTTAATCATTAGAATGAAAAAATGTTAGTAGTGTGAAAGTGGATGGTGAAACAGAGAGAGGGAGAGGGGGAAGGAGATGAGCTAACACTGAAATTGAACAGGAATAAGAAACATGAATAATCCTTTAAAGTTGAAATGAAGAAAAAAACTGTTTGAATTGAAGAAAGACTAGAAGCTGACATTATTTTGCATCAGAGTTTATCTGCTCATATAGTTGGAATTTTATTAAGTTTGGAATATATTGCTTTTAGAATTGATAGAATTCAAAGAAATTTAGATTTGTTGAGTGGACAATTTGTTGGTTTTATCTCTGATGATAAGCTGGAAGGCTCAAAAGTTTTCAGGATGATGTATGATTATTGTTCTTGGTTTCTCCATTACAGAAGTTTTTTAAGAAACTGTAGTTTATGGAGATTGTATCTATATCTTCCATCAGTTTTATAATTTGTATTTAAAGTGAAAGGTATATGTATAAAATTTTAATATTAAAGTTAAAAATATTAAAATTTTTGTAAATTTAAACTTAAACAAAAAATTTGTTATTTCACACTGCTTACATTTATTTCAAGATATCTTTTATGCAAATATTTACATCTCAGAAACATTCAGTGATTAAAGTTATTAACCTTTCAAGTATTGCATTTTTATTAAATAATTTGAAAATTCAAATTATGTGTTTTTTTTCTATTTAGTAATATCTCAATTATCACATTGTAATAAATTTAATTCAACTAATTATTAATAAAGATACTTATACAATACCAATAAGTTAATTTTAACACATTTTTGTATTAATGAAGTGATGGCAAAACTACAAATCTATAAATCACCACTATGTAGTCAAAGATAGATAATACAGTAGAACCCTGATTATCCAAAGTTCCGCAAAGTTTCCTTTACGATAGAAATTTTTTTTGTCTTGTTTGTTAAATCAAGGTCTGTTAAATCAAGAGCCTACTGTATACAAAATGTACACAACTGTTATTAATTAATATGAACATCTGTCTTATAAAATCTAAATCATTTTCTATATCTAATCAAAAATTTATTTTAGATCATTAAAAAAAAATATAAAGTTTTTATTGACTATCACTTTTTTGACTAAACATTAAATATTATTGTACTAAAATACTAAATATATTTACCGTATTCTCCAAATACAAGATGATCCCAACCTTTCTTTCGTGCAATGTATTGCGTTAGACGTATACCAATAAAAATGAATAATAACCCTATAGACGAATCCAGCAAAAAGCTAACAATGTACCTAAATATAAAGATAAATATTTATTTTATGTTAATCTATGATAATGTGAAAAATATCTTATCCTATTATAAAAATGAAAGTAATTTAATTCTACATAATTTAATATTTAAAGTATTGAAATTTGGAAGCTGTACGTATGAACAATGTTTGAAATTTTTATTAATGAAAAATACATCATTTCTTTAAACTCGTTGTTTACGTAGATCATATCTATCCATATTCGTAATTTCCAGGGCTGTGGAGTCGGAGTCGGAGTCGTGGAGTTTTGGTGTTTTAGCTGGAGTCAGAGTCGAAGTCGGATGGTAAGGAAAAGTCGGAGTCGGAGTTGGTAGATTTTTACGCGACTCTACAGCCCTGGCAGGGCTGTGAAGTCAAAGTCGGAGTCAGAGTTGTGGAGTTTTGGTGTTTTAGCCGGAGTCGGATTGGTAAGGAAAAGTCGGAGTCGGTAGATTTTTACGCGACTCCACAGCCCTGGTAATTTCAAGCCATAGCTTTGTTGATGATTTAAAAATAATTCTGATCCAAAATTTTTAAACAAGCAAATCTTAATAAATCTGTTGGCTAAAATAAATATTAAAATCAATTTTAATAAATCAATAGTAATGTGTTATTCTTAATTTGAATTCAAACTCTCCTCTATTTCCTCAACTGAAAATAAGACAATAATTTATTCTCAAATAGTCAATGACCTAAGAGTTATATTTGATATCAGGATTAACATAGGATTAACTTTTAAATTTTATATTGTTAGAATAACTAAAGCACTATTCATTATTCAGAGTAATCGTATGAGTTTATAAAATGAATCATGTATATCACTGTCTGTTGGTGTTACGAAAAAATGATTTATTTTGCAAGTACTTTCAAGAGTCTAAAACTGTCCTCTTCTGGCAGAATCATTATTAGAACATGCAGAGAACAAGACATTTGAATTCAAGAAAAAAAAATCTGAATATCAATCATCATTTTTTCAAAATTGTTTATCCTACATGTACATGGAAATTTAAATTATACATGTACAGGTAACCCCCGTATAACACGGGAGTTATGTTCCAAAAAATTGCCGTGTTATGCGAAACAAAGAACTAGTGCGAAAAGGGGGGGTTAGGTTCCAAAAATTAAAAAACATGTTGTTAAATCCTTATTTAAATCAGATTTATTATTCATTTTTTTCATAGGTAAAATACTTATTTATTATTTAAGTAAATATTTTACCAGAGGATTATTCATCCTATATGATGATCTCAGCATGAGCATCATCAACTGGTAACAGTTTTTGGGTGCGTTCGTTAATAGCGGTTGTTCTGCAACAAGAGTGCACTACTGTTTGTAGACATTTAGGAACGAGGTAAAAGAAAGATGGAGGCACCTGCACTATCAATAGTATCGTGATGGAGGAATCTATAATTCTAAAATGAGCTTTTAGAGGCAAAAGAAGGGTCCCAATTGTAAAATTTAACCATTAAATGGATTATTGTTGAAAGTGCATTCAAAGTAGTTGAAAGTGCATTCAAAGTAGCTACGAAAACAATTAGAATGCTCATGCAGAGTTATGCAAAAGTATAAAAGAACGCACCCTTTATTACATTTCATGTTGTACGAGGGTTTTACAACAATTCCCGAACCGTGTTAGAGTGAACCCGTGCTATAAAACCACCGTGTTATACGGGGGATGTTCTTAATTCTCGAACCGTGTTAGAGTGAATCAGTGCTATAGAAGTGCCGTGTTATATGGGGGTTACCTGTACAGTATACAAAAATTATACATTAATACAAAATACAATGAAATGTAAAACAATACATCAAGAATAAATGGATTAAAATAAAGTACATAAATGATAATGAATTAAATAGTCAATAAACAAACAAACATATAGTAACACTAATATCGCTATGAGGTGTTTTATCAGGAACCATGTGATTTAGAACCTTAGAAGGCCAAACAGTGCTGTCCACAACACCGGTATATCCAACATAGGAGAGTTACATGGTGACAATAATGAGAGGTAAAGTGATTCCCACATAAATAACATTTTTTGATCCCCACAACATTTTAGAAGGGAAATTTGTGACCAAATTGGTTCAAAGATACTTTCTATTGCTTTTTTTATATACACCATCTTATACCTTCTTGTGTTTTACAGTGTACCCATTATGTCTGCAAAACACCCCACTGTCTCCTGCTACTGGTGAGAAGAAGAAGAAGGTTATTACTCTCAATGAGAAACTTAACATCATATAATTCTTTCTAGACTGCATATTGTAATATCAACACACTTACTAAAACACCTTTTCTTGCAGCCGACGCTTTATTATAACAAGGTCTTGAGAAAGGTCTTTTAACAAGACCGAAAACGTTTGAAAGTTGTTATAATAAAGCGTCGGCTGCAAGAAAAGGTGTTTTAGTAAGTGTGTTGATATTAACATCATATCTAAGCTTGATAGTTATAGTGGTTACTCACGAGTTTGGGCTATCACAATCAGCGACAGCCCAAACTCGTGTTATGTACTGTATAACCTTGCATATAACCTATTTATTTATTTTTTTTATTTTTATTTTCGACTTTTGGAACACAACCCCATCATAAGTCAAGGAGAGACCGTATCTGTAAAAATTAAATCTACAATTCATTCTGATTTAAACTGTTTGGCTTTGTTATATAATACATAAAGTAATATTAAAATAATCTAAATAAAGTATTTATGAAATAAAATACAAACCATGTACAAGGATCTCCTTGAAAAAATTCAGCAAGAAAAATATTTGCAAAATGGATGACTAAAGCTCCCATCCCTTGTTTAGATGTATCAAAAAACCTTAAAATAAAAATAATTTTACAAATAAACATTATAATGTAACTTATAAATTATATCAATAGGTTAATATAAATATATTAAGCTATTGATATCATTTATTTTAAATTTTGCTTACCATATTATCCAAGGCCGCCTCTCTCTTCTCGGTTCACAAAACCTCTTCACTATAAATAACAAAATGTTTATTTTTTATTACAGCAAAATGTTCTTAAATGAAAAAATTTACTATTTAAATAATATAAGTGTAATTCTTTTATGGAGATAATAGAATTTAACGGTAAAATTTTCAAATTAGAACACAACTGAAAAATTAATAACTTAAAAGCGTATTTAAAATAAATTTTATTGATTACTTCTATTTAAAACTTACCTTTTATTTAAATTTTTTTACAATTATTTGAAACATCTTTAAATTATTATATTAGATTAAGCAATTTATAAATGGAAAATACAAATTAATTAGTATTTTTCATTTAAGTTGACTTAATTATTTAGTTACTTGCTACGTATAAATAATAAAGAACATCTTTTAAAGATATAATCAATAAATAAAAATCTATATAAATGACTCAGTAGTTTCTTTATGTTCATAATTATTGTATATACGAGGGGGGTGCAAAAGTAGGTATATATTTGTTATTATAAAAAAGTTAGGCCAAGACTCCACTAGTGTAAAAACGGGCATAAAACCCCTCGCCGTAAAAGCTTTTAATCACGTGACCATGATATTTTACTCCTGAGCAGGTCATAAAACCAGCGTAAAAGCAAGTTGAGCAGTGTTTGACTTTCAATGCAAATACGACCATAAAACGGTACCACCACCAACCAGAAAGTCAGTGAAATCTAGGTCATTGTGACACGGTTGGAACAGAACTGCTCACAGAAAACACACGAAATATGTGTCATCGTGTAGGAATTGGGTGGGGAGATTCACATCGCAACATGCTTCTGTGCAAGCAGACACATAACGGGGACGGGTATCTTGACGGGAGATGCATCGGACTACTGAGCATGTCGGACTATCAAGGGACAGCTGTATTAAAAAATAAAACTGCTTTCAATTAGTTTATTAAATATATTTACTACATCTCTTACTGCATTTATGTAACATCAACATAAATTTTTACTGTTTTTATCTTCACGACTAAGTGCATAGACATTCTCCTTAGGATATTACAGAGATTATCTTCATTCGGTTTAGCAAAGAATATAAAATAAGCTTTCATCGTAAGCATAGGATTTGACAAGAGAGGAAAAAACATTTTTCTGCAGAAGAGTCTGTTGATCTTCTCAAGATTATAAAATCATATAGATGTGAGAAGGGAGCCTGTATTTATATCAAATCAATTAAGGTCAAGGAAAAAAAACTCATCAAAGGAAGAAATTGAAAACTAAGAGACAAATGAAGTCGAGACAAACTCAAAGTTACAGGCATAAGAAAACGAAGCGTTTTGAAGAGAAACAAATCCATTAAAAAAAAAGAAAAAAGATGATTCTAAAATATTAAATTTTTAAATTTAATTATTATTATTTTCAGGGCTGTGGAGTCAAAGTCGTGGAGTTTTGGTGTTTTGGCTGGAGTCAGAGTCGTCAAAAAATCTGCCGACTCCGACTCCCTTTTTACTTACCAACTTGTTATGTATATGAAATGGAGTCGGAGTCAGAGTCGGATGGTAAGGAAAAGACGGAGTCAGAGTCGGTAGATTTTTACGCGACTCCACAGCCCTGATTATTTTATAGTTTTGAAAGACTAGAAAGCACAGACTAAACTATAAAATAAATTTTATTTATCAGTGATTTAATCCAGATGTTTTAAACTAGAAATGTTACAAACTGGCTAATTTATTCATTATAAGTATGTTTATAACTTTTACATCTATTTAATATGATATATTTATATTTATTAGTTATTAATTACCTATATGTATATATTATACATATTTACATACAATAAAAATATTTAATGAATTAAAATTAGTACCATGATTACTTTCAAAAAATCAAATTTACTGTTATTTGTAACAGATTCGTGTTTTTATATTTCTAAAATGTGATCCATTTAATGATTAATATGTAATTTATATATGCAGAATGATCAATTTTAATCAATCCACTGGAAAAACTTGAAAAATATGTATACTAAAAATATCATTGAACCAAAATGTTAGACTTCAAGAGGATCAGAAGATGAGGGTATTGGTTTTATCATAGATGATGCTACAATGGAGAAAATGAGAGAAACTTCATCTTCTTAAATGAGAACCCCCATATTTTATTGCATACTATAATTTTGCTTCAAAAATAAACTTTATTTAAAACAAGTTCTTCTTATCAGATGTTTTAAACTTCTACTTGGCCACCATATCATACGCCCATGTATTTGTGAATATCTGTGAAATTCATTGAAAAAAACTAAGAAATTTGTTTAAAAAAATCATTAGGAAACTATTATTATTTTGCGGAATCATTCTATTTCTTCAAATAATGAACTGATACAAAATCTTGTGCCGCAGCTCAAGGCCATCTTAAATTTACTAATACATTTTTCATTTTAATTAAACTTTTAGCAGAATGTCTAAGTATCTATCAGTTTTCTCCTCTGGCAAACAACGTTCAAAGACATCTCAAGTTTGCTGAATGCATAAGTCAGTTCTTAATTGGAAATATCTGTTTTTTTATAAAATGTTTCATGGTATGTCGGCTCAAGCGGTTTAAAATCTTCCAATCATATCTTCTCTAGTTGTTGTTTCTTACTCATGGACAACATTCTTTAAATAGCCCTACAAATAAAAGTCAGATGATGTTGAGTCCAGAGATCAAGCAGGCTATTGTACTGGTCCACACTTCCAAATCCCCTCCCTTTACAATAACAATCACCATGTAGTGCTATTATTGGCCAAGCAAGCATTAATTTGTCACTAGGTGTCATTTACTTGGAAGCTCCACTAAGAAACGTCTCAGATAGTGAGGTAGTGTCCATTTTAGGGAGTTAGGAATACATTATAATGTCTATACTTTTGTCCATGCAAGAGTAAAAGTGTCAAAGTTAGTGGGGTGTCCAGCTTAAAGAGTTGTCCAATTTTTGATATTTTACTGTATTTTTTTGTTTGTTGAACCTGAATGATGAACAAACAAAAATAGATTGCTTAGATTTGCCATAGTTTTGTTTTGCACTGTTCTTTTTAATTTCAGTCTGTTTATATAGATTTCATGATAATTAAAAAATTAATCCACAAAACTACTTAATTCGGGTAACCAAAAAATATTCAGCCTAATTTAATTAAGCTACCCTCAGAAATAAACACAAAAGAATTCCATTTATTCATTATATATTTACATATATAGATGCATACGTGATTTGAAAAATTAATTATTTTTGTTATTAACATATAAATTGTGTTTTTCTTTTTATATTATTAATTGAGAAAGCATTTCATTTTTTAGTTTAACTTTTAGATTCAAATTTTAGCATCTTTTCATTTATTAACAAATTTTTTTCTTATTCTGGTAAATTACTGGTATGTTAAAAGTATTAAATACCATATTTACTTACGTATAAGATGATCTCGCATATAGGACAAGGTGTGACTTTAAATATCAGAAAAAAAAAAAAAAAATTAGATTTATTAATATAATTCTAATTTTATTTCATTTAATCACAAATATCAAATGCATGTAAAATGCACATACTGTCCCAAAAAACTACTGGCATTTTAAACTTTAAGGAAAAATCTTGTAAAATAGAACATACTTTGTTCATATAACTGGACAATCGGGAACCTTTATTACCAATTCTTAACAGTTGAAACTACTCTCCGTCGATTACACTTATGAGTTCCTCCGAATTCTGATTTCCGAAAAATCGTCTGTTTCACGTGGGAATGGATTGTGATAGTTCGTTATGAGAGACGTTTACAATTCCGCGAATGAAAAGTTACAAACAAAAGAAAGATACATAATTCAATTATCACACAGTATTCTTTATTCTCTCCGAACTGGTTCTTTTCACTTCTTTTTCATAGGAATCCCAACTTTACAAACTTTATGCTGTTCTTTTATACACAGAGAAAAAGGAACAGTCTTGTCCTCCACTATCGCCGGGGTTCGTACACGTGACAATCGTCAAAATAACAAAAAAAAACTTCTTATATAACTAACTTATATCTAGCTTATAACTAATAAAAAAATAAGAGTACAGGACAGATAAATATGGAAACAAAATGTAGGGAGAATGGAAATACCCGGGATTTCTTTTGGTACGTATATATACTTTCGAATTATGGCACCAACTTGATATCTTCTGCTCTAAGGTCTGTTTGGCTCTTCTCGATATCGAAGAATTCTGCTCTTTTCTTGGACTATTTGTTGTCCTTACGGCACTTCTCTTTTCGAAATTGTCTCTTTCCTTTCTTGCCAGTGTTTAACCTTAACTTCAGGTCACGAGCACTCGCTTTTTCGTTCTGCTCTCTTCGGGATCTTTTTCAAAAGTGACTCGTCTGGTTTTTCCCAGGGCCCCACTCCCTCTTTTGTTCTTATTTTCATGGAATAGATAATCCTACCCCAGGGGCAAAAAGGGGTAGATAAGGTCTTAGAAGAGACAAAGAAACAGAAAAGAAGGCTAGAATTAATTCAAAATAAAATATACAAAATATACAATATCATGGCCGACAACCACAGGATTAAAACTTATATCAAGCGCCTGTGTGATTTTGGAATTTCAATTCAAAACCTTTGCTTTTTATATTGCTATTCATCTTTACTCCTGACAATACACAAAGAATGATTCAAACAACCCAGATAAAATACATTTGTTTTTAAACACCAGAGGGTAAGCATTGGGTAAAAAGAATGCAAAATACACTGTTCACAAAAATTATTGCAAAGTGCAAAGAATCCTTCACCTGCACGTATAGGATGACCTAGGTTTTTGAAGCAGTGAAAAATGAATAAAAACCTCGTCTTATATGCGAGTAAATATGATAATTTTTTCTATATAATTTACAATATTTGAGGTTTATAGAAAGCCATGAACTGTAATAATTAATTAAAAATCTGATAAATTCAAGCATGTATGAATATATATAATATACTATTATAATTTCATTATTTAGAAGAAAAATTATTGAGAATTTGATGATTCCAGTGTTCCAGTGATGATTCAGAG